CTCTATTTTTAAATCTGCTTGAATTGATATTTTTGCTTGGGGGGGGGGCAGGAGAACAAACACAGCAGTGTTACGTCACTTTATACATTTGTTATGCCGAACATACTGGTTAACTGATATGTACTCATCTTCCACACTGAGAAATATTCTGATCACCAGACAAATGTTAACTCCAATATTCAACTTTTTGGTCTCAGCTCCTGAGAAAAAGATCTGGCTCTTCAGCTGCTAAATGCTCCACTGTGTTCACCAGCTAGTCGCTAACTTTTCCCATCTGTTTGTTGCCTGGCAGGCTGTTAACAGTGGCTTTAATCAGAGCCTTTTCACTGAAAACAGCTGCCTGTCGCTGGTGGAAAGATAGATGTTTTTGGAGTGAACAAAAACAGTATATTTGTGGGCCATGGAACCAAAAATGGATGACGCTAAAAAGCTACGTAGAGCTGAGAGCAGCTGCAGAGTTGGGTGACGTTTCTCTGTGGGTTCAGCACGAGCGACACTTTTCACATCACACACAGTCATTTGATTCATAGTCAATTTAAAGAATATTGACTTGTAGAAGCTTTAGATATGCTTGTACCCTCACCCATACCCATGATGTGGTTAGCCTAGCTCGGCTCAAAAACTGCTATCCTATTTGTATCTGAAATTAAAATATACACCTCCCAGAAACTCCTTAGTTAAACTTTATATATTGTTGATTTAATATGTAAAAAAATATATAAAAATAAAATCGTAAAAACAAGGCGTTTTCGGATCATTATGCTGGAGCCTTTTTTTTTTTCAGCTGGGTGCCGTGTCGGCACGCAGCATCTCAAAAAGTCCTGTCCTCATAGTGGGGTTGCCAGGTTTGAGCACCGTCCAAAGTGAACAAAAATCCAGGTGACTCTTTTTATCTCCTCTTACAGCCAATTAATGAAAGGAGTTGTTGGAAGGTGTATTTTGTCTAGGCTAACCTTTTGTCTCAGCGCCGAGATATTTCTCTGTACTAGAAATTGAATTCATATCTCTTCTTCATCACTGTGGGTTGGATGGTGCACAAGCATATTTCCTAAAATCTTGGGACGTTTAAGAGCTGCCACAGGTTAGAATTCTCTCACTTTTTAAGGCCTCAGAATGCTTCAGCTGTGCGTCGTACGATCGCATCTAAAGGGAAAAGTGTTTATAGCTGTTCTGAATGGCCACATCTGTCATGGCCTCCTCCTGGCTGCTTCCCACTGCCTCACTGATGTGTGTCTTTGTCTAGTCTCACTAATCGTACAGCACTTTCAGTCTCTCCGCAAAAGCATTCTTGGTGTTGTCCTTGGTTGTACAGACAAAAAGTGACAGTCGTAGTTGTGTGAATAATACAAACAAACAAACAAACATAGCTTTATAGAGAAGTTTGAGCCCTGCTTTCACACCTGCGCAGTCAGCTAATTGCTGCTTTTAGTAGACGCGCTTGTCGGATTTGTAGAGGTTACAAAATTGGCAGATCTGACGAGCACTATGAAGCATACAGAGGCCTTAGGCAATCCCATGAGACGCCAGTCTATGAGGGACTTGTGGATGATCTTGGTGTTTTCTTGATACCCAGCACGGAAGTTGACCAATGGGACACACGCCAAAATCTGTGTCTTTGTTAAAGCCAGTCCTGTAAACCTGAAACCTGCTGCTGGCGCCCATCGCTTGTTCTCTTTACCCAGTTTTTTTTTTTTAAGCTGAGAGGACATTGCAGCAGCTCCTTCCCGGCCAGTCATTTGTTTGAGCCAGATTGCTCCGGCACAGTTGGAGGAGGAAGATTCTAGAAGACACCAGTAAGGACCAATGACCCAGGTGGCAGCCAGCTGGCTGCCGGAATGAGAAAAAACTGTGCTGGATTGGCAGCGTCCTCGTTTACATCCTCGCTTCCTACCCCTGCTCTCTCCTCCCAACCTCCTTTGAGACTGAGAGACTGTCGCAAAGAGACTTCAACGTCGAGGCACGGGAGACGGGTCGCCTCCCCCCTCGTCTGTTCACTATGTATGACCTCCAACATATCATGTCCCCACTCCCCGACGCACCCTTTCCCCCTTTTATTGGTCAAGGAGAGAAAGACTGACACGCGTATGCATTGCTTCCAGTGTCGCAACTGTTGGACTCGGTTCATTTGGAATTTATGAGTTAGTAAGTTTTAAGAGAGCTGATAAAAAAAAATGTCTCTTTGTAGGATTAACCTTTTTGTTGTCTTTATTTTGTTTTTTCTTTCACAAAAAACAACAAACAATGAAAAAAAGAGAGCAAATTAAATGTGGTGGCGATGTTCCAAAACCATCCTGGAATCAGGCGTTGTAGTACTTTAATTTGTTCGCTCTAGTTTGTTAAATAGACTGTGACACACCCAGATGTTTACCGTGTGGTAGCTAGCCTATAGCAATCATGTCCCTTTGTCATGGAATCATTGCTTTGTGTAGTCAATAGTGGCCTCCACTTTTATCATGGAAAAGTGTACGAGGAAGACTGTGTGTCATGTTCTGTCTTTTCTGTGTGTTGACCAACCAGTAATAACACCTTTCTCACTGTCTGACATCGACTCTTCTGCTCCGGTCTCAGCCAGAGAAAGTCTCTCTGCCCTGAAAACTGTGGTGAGATCTTTCTCCGTCCAGAACTTAAAGGACCAGTGTGTAGGATTCTGGGGGATCTATATAATATTCGGAATTATGTTTTCATTAGTGTACAATCACCTGAAAATAAGAATTGTTGTGTTTTTATTACCTTAGAATTAGCTTTTTATCTACAGAGGGAGCGGGTCCTCACCATGTTTCTACCACAGCCCAGAACAGACAAACCAAACACTGACTCTAGAGAGCACCTTTCATGTTTGCACGTTACCCGAAGGCCACCATAGCTTCTCCTTCACACTTTGAGGGTGATAGGAGGGGTATTCATTTGCTTGCAATCTGCAACCTCATTGCTAGATGCCACTAAATCCTACACACTGGTCCTTTTTAAAAGCTTCTGCAACAGTAGCAATTTTTGAGTCTTAAACAAAATCAGTCTTAGCCCTTATGTTGTGCACTACAATACATCAGGAGTACAGCTTAAGTTATCACAGTTCCACCTGTGGTCAACGGACCAGCTGAGAGTCCTTAGAGCCACACCACGAGCTAAAAACACAGTCTTTTTGAATCTGGCAGAAATGGGAATATAACTGAGGCAAATCTCAGGGAAAAATAAGCTTACTTTCTTAAAAAAAATAAAAGTGGTTTGAGGCTGTGGGTACTGTTTGGTGCCAATGACTGGCCGGCCACAGCAGGGACCTGGACCTGGTGTAAAGGTTTCCACTTCATGTTCATGTAAATTTGAAAGTCACTAGCATTATCAGCACCATGTATTCTATAGTTTTGCTCCAGACAGCTGCAGTAGACATGTTCAACAGATCTACTGCGGTCAATGATAAAGGCACGTTTAAGTGGTGTATAACTCAGTAATTACTATTCAAATTCGGTGAATGGTTCTTAAATGGATCTTATTGTTTCCAGTGTTCCACTGTGCACTCACTGCATAGTTACGTAAGAAGATCTACTGATTCTTCCATTACACATATTTTACCACAGTGAATACTAAAAGGTGGTCATGTTTATTTCTCGGAATCAGTGCCATAACTATCAATGTAGTGTTAACACTAAGAGAATAATGTTACAAATATAGTCAGATCAGACTAGATTGCTCTACTTGCACTTATGAAATAGAGGCAGAACTGATTGGGACTGATGTTTGACTGCAGGCAGAATCACAGCATTCCAGTGCCTGTCCAATACTAGTGCTGATACAATATCAGTCCCTCCAGGAAGTTGCAGTCACAGAAATTCAATCAATCCCATGAGCCATACCTCACCAAACTCACTTGAAGAGCTTACTCAGAATACTCCAAACAATGCAATTTTAATCTCACTGGAACAAGTTGCTTTCAATTTCTTATTTGTTATACCAAAAAGAAATCGCAAGTAACGTCTGAAATCCTGGAGAGACTGAATGCTTGAGATTTTGTACCAATACCAAAAGGAGAACTTCTTGTCGTACCTCACTTTGAGAGATACAAACATGTTTTTCTACAGTACCATCTGTCATTTAGCAAAAGTTAACTAAAGTTGGCAAATTTCTGGAATTGTCTGATCAAAGACTAAGTCGGCACGATCTGACCAGACGTTCAAAGCCAGTTTTCAGTGTTTGACAGTTTCTGATGCTCTGTGCTATGGACACGTTTCAGCTGGTGGGTGCATTCACACCTAACCTGTCTGCTTCAGTTAACAAAACTCTGTCCGTCCTCAGTTGGTATGGTTCCTTTGGGCTGGTGTGAAAGCTGCAAATCGAATCCCAGTTTGGACCAAACAATCGAAGTGGTCTTGGTCTGCTGCCAAGTGGACTTTTGTTGCGGTTTGTTCGGAAACGAACCAGTGACAGGATCTTATGATAACAGATGTGAAATTTTAGCGCAATTTGAAAAGCTAACCTACTGATAAATCCATCTGCTGATCGTGAAATGTTTAGGAAGCGATATTATAAATGGCATAAGCATGGGTCAGTAGAAACAATACAATCATTTAGTAGATAGATTATTTTTAACCACAAGGAAGCGTTCTGTACATTTCTGAGGATGTGTTTGTAAAAAGCTAGTATGAACATGAACTGGCCCAGAAGTAAAATGCAACCATGTTATCATTTTTTATCCTCTGCCTAGAGCAAATGAACTGAACTACAGGCGTGAAAGCATTTTTCTTGAGCTCCCCAGCCACCTTTCTTACTGTATTTATTCACTGCTCGTTCTCATTCCCAGATCATGTGTTCACTTAGTTGCAATCTGCAACTTCGCCACTAGATGCCACTAAATCCTACACACTGGTCCTTTAACAATAGACGTAGTTTGATGACGTGTAGTGACGTGGGATCATGGGAATTTTTGCCTTCATTTTAAACAAACACCATTTGTAGATGCAGATGAATCTATCTAACGGGAATGGCAGAAATCATGTTCACTGACGAGGTAATCTATCAAAGAATGTATTTCTTTTTGGAGAATATGACAAAAAAGTACATTTCCATGTCTTGTTCAACAACAATCTTCTGTTTCAGGTTGAGCAAAAACCAAATATAAAACTGACAGAAAGCAATTAAAGTAAAAATACATCCAGCAAATAATCATATCTGAAAAGGAAAAAAATAGGGGCCATTTCAAATTAACCTAAACATATCTAGTAATTAAAAGAACTTAAAGCTTTTCTTGTCTTTTTCAAGTTTGATTCCAACCTTTGCTACATGTCTGACAAAAAAAAGGCAATAAAAGTCCCAAAAACACATACTCAAGAGTTGTAACCCACTCTTCCAATGGTTCAAACTGGGTTTAGTCTTAGATTCTACATTTATGTACAGAAATAACAAATAACAAAATATTATCAAATTTTTATTCACGTGAAGCGTTCCGGTAGCTCATGTACCAAGGCTGAGTCCTTGCTGCAGCAGCTGTAGGTCTGAGTCTGACTCTCTCTCCTTTTCTGTCCATCTTTAGCAGTCCTAGCGATTAAAGCCAAAAAAGCCCCACATTTTAAGTTATTCACCACTCTTCCTCGGTCATGTATTTCCCCGGAAGTACAGGGAGTAGACATTATGGCACTGACAGGCGACCGAATGAAACATACCTTGAGTAAAATGACATATTTCTCTGGGTTTCAACACAGTTTACAACTCAATAAAATATATAACAGAGATCTAGTTTTTTTTTTTTAAGACATCTTAATGCAGAAATTGCACATATTATGCCATTAAACAAAGGATCAGAATACTTCTTCAGTACTGGCTGAGGTTAGTTTAATCTTGGTGTTCACAGAATACTTTAAATTCCAGTCCATACGTTTGCTTTTTAACACAATAACTCTAGTTTGTGTGCACAAGGCAGAGTGCTGCCTTGTGGCCTTTTTCCTTCCACATTTTCAACATAACTTCATTAACAGTAAAAAAAAAAAAAAAAAAAAGTCCACTCAGATTCTGCTTCCATTAAACCAGTGTTTGAGAAGGCCTGTGCAGATTAAACCAGTTTGTCAACAGCAGCCACGGGCGTAGGTTTGATTTGGAAAGTGAATTATAAATTTGTCAAATACGATTTTTAATCACCCTGCAACAACATTTACTTTCTAGATAGCGACGTTATCTGGAAATGGAAATGGAAATGATATTTCATTTACAGCTCACACAGAGCCACTGAGGAAGGAAACCCGCAGAGGAACCACAACCCAAACCCAGGGTAGAGGGGTTCAGTGAAAGTGGTAGTGAAGGTGTGGAGATGGATGTGCTTGTCTAAGGTGACTCTGTAGAAGGACAGAATTCCAGCAGGCCAGTCCAGATACACTGCTACTCTGTGAAACAAGGTGTGGGGAAGAACGATGTCTGTTCTTTTGTTATCGTGGCAAACGGAGTAGCAGTTAACTTCGGAGCACTCCAGGCTCCAGGATTGCACGTTCTTTCCAAACCTGCCGTCGTCGCCATCTCCTCTCCTGTTGATGCCTCTGTACGCCACCGATATAACGGCGTCTCCGTTCCAATTCACCTCCCAGTAACAGCGACCAGTCAGACCATTGCTACACAGCAGCTGGTAGCTGTGGGAGAATCTCTCTGGGTGATCAGGATATAACTGCTCCTCGTCCACCCAGGTCGCCTTCCTGTTGTTGTTAGACAGCTTGAGGTTTCTGTTTACGGTGTTTGGGTCCAGTGTGAGTTCACAGGCATCTGAGAACAAGTACAAAATCACAAACACTTCTTTTTTTGTTGGTTTATTAACAATGACTATATAATGATATTAAAGGTCCAGTGTGTAGGATTTAGTGGCAACTAGCAGTTCTTTTAAGGTAATGCAATATTCAGGCGGTTGTACACCGATGAAAACAAACTTATGAATATTATAATTACTGTTACACACTGGACCTTTATTGACCCATCATTCTGGACCTTGGATCTGGATTAAATGCAGATACTGAAGCTTTTTATACACAGCTTGAACGACACTGTGTAGAATTAGAAAATGTTCCAGTGGTAGCATCAGTACGTTCTGTGGCGCCCCCTCACCATCATATGAATCCAACCTGGGAATGCTGAGTGTGACAGAGACTACACTCATTTTCATCAGGATATTCACATTTTCTACAAACATCTTATGACATAGTCATTATTTATTGTTCTCAGGGGGAAAAAAGTGAGCACTCACACTTCCTGACACCAGGTTTCAGCCTCTGCTCTCCACAGTCATCCACCCTAGAGGAAGAAACAAAGTCAGAGTAAACCTAAGGTAAGGTAGCGGTCAGTGGCTGGCCGCCGTTTGGATTTTGAAGTGGGTCTATTCAGGTAGTTACGATGGCTGGAGCGGCCAAAAAGAAGAAGCAAAGTATTTTAGCAATAATTTCCCACATTTTATATACCAAAAAAAACCAACAAAATTATATTATACATCACATGGTTTTATTGAAAATAGTAATAATAATAATCCTCTTTGGTATAGCACCTTTCATGAAAAGCATCCAGCTCAAAGTGCTTTATTTAAAAAAATAATACAAAACTACAATCAAGTAAAAAGCAGGCAGGTAAGGACACAAGTGTTGATAGATCAACTAATAAAAACACATTTAAAGGCATATTCAACTAAATGAAAAAGGCATAAAACAGCAAAGGGCCTTTAGGGGCTAGGTTAAGAGATTTTATCTTTGGGCAGACTCTTCCACAGTTTGGGAACATAGCTGCATCTCCAGTTTTCTTTTCTGGTGGGGTTTTAGGTGTCTAAGGGCCAGCAGCAGAGGAGGTAAGGGTTCGGAAGGAACAAGCAGCAGGATTGTGATACAAGCAGATCCTAAGCTCAGAGCTTTATATGCTTGTAGAAGGACTGTGATGTGTTCTCTCTTCTTTGTTTTTGATAGCAGTCTAGCAGCAGAACTTTGGGTTGTTGCCTCTCAGTGGAGTTTTTACAAAGAACAGTGAAAGGTGCACTGCAATAGTCTAGTCTACTTGTTGGGTCAGGATTGGCAGTACCTCTGCAATGTTTCGGAGATGAAAAAATGCCACCTTGGTGTCTTTGTCTTTTACGTAGCCCATCCCTTTTGGTTTTGGGGCCAACTAATAGAATCTCTGTCTTAGGTTTTAGGTTAAGCACACTATCTTTAGGATACCACATCTCTAAGGAGCAAAGTGTAGGGCAGCAATGATGTTTAAGCAGTGTTATTACATGCTGCTCTTTACTGTTGTCAGTGGTGCTGGTGGAGAGTGTGTCTGTTCATACCTGAGGGTGCTCAGTCCCCACTGTGGATTCTTGAGTCCAGCAGATAGCAGCTTCCTCCCAGAGTCTCCTGGATGATTGTAGCTCAGGTCCAGCTCCCTCAGATAGGAGGGGTTGGAGCTCAGAGCCAAGGCCAGAGCAGCACAGCCTTCCTTTGAGACCTGACAGCCTGACAGCCTGCAGACACACACACACACACACACACACACACACACACACAGGTTTTGCCACAATGATAATTTGTTTTGTGTTGAATGAGGAGGTTTTCGTCCTGGTTTTGTAAAAACCGACTTTTGGTTCACAGATTTGAAGTTATTTGCAATAATTCAAAATCACGGTGGGCAAGTAAACAAGCAGTGCTTTGGCCTTTTGCATAAGTTTAAGTTCTTGCATGTCCTGTATTGTGTTGAATTCTGGGACAGGCAATTAAGGGGTGGAGCCAAGTTAAAAGACAGGAGGACAGCTGGCAGTAAGGTCCCAGGAGGGGGACAACAGCTGCTGCGGATCAAGTGAGGACCATGTGCTGTCTTCACCTTTTTATTTATTTTTTTTATTTTTACTTTGTATTTATTGTTTTTTTTATCTTGTTATAAAGGTCCAGTGTGTACCATTTGAATGGAATATAATATTCATAGGTATGTTTTCATTAGTGTATAATCATAAGAGTCATTGTGTTTTAGTTTCCGTAGAGTTAGTTTTTATCTACAGAGGGAACGGGTCCACCATGCTGAACCGCCATGTTTCTACAGTAGCCCAGAACGGACAAACACTGGTTTTAGAAAGGGAGTTTCACGGCCACCATAGTTTCGCTTCAGTTCTATTCAGTTGGTTGCAGTCTGCAATTTTACCACTAGATGTCACTAAATCCTACACACCGGACTGTTAATATCTTTGATCTCTTTTACACAAGGCCTTGTTTTTATGTTGTTAGTTTTACTATTTTACCACATATTTTTATTGGGTATTATTATTATTAATTTCTGCCTCTTGGGTAATCAACACTGCTCACCAATGCTTGAATCCTAGGCTCTCTGCTAGGTGCCGTTGTCAAAAAGTAAAACAAACCTCAACCAGGCCACAAACAACAGATTGAATACTGGCCTGAGAGTGTCCAGTGTACAGTGTGGACTCTCCAGTCCAGAAGAGAGTAGCTTCACTCCTGAATCCTGCAGATCGTTGTTACTCAGGTCGAGCTCTCTCAGATTAGAGGACTGGGAGCTGAGAATTGTGGCCAGAGCTTCACAGCTTCCCCATGACACTTTACAGCCAGTCAGCCTGAAAGACAATTTCAGTCAGCCATAAATCATATTACAAATCACATTTTAATATTTATTTCATTCAAAAAGGAGGATGCTCCTACAGCACAATTCCGTTATGGAAGCCTGAAAAACTCTAAACTAAATTAGTGGTTTTAGCAGTCAGCTACTCGATTGCTCAACTTGTCAAGTACTTGGTGAAATCCCTAATTTCAGAGTTATCTTTCTTCAGCAGCTTCAGCTTGTACAGCACACAGCATAAATGCAGCATTATACAGCTTCCACATTTAAAGTAGGGCCTTAAAAGTCATGCAGAAACATCAGTGTTATCCCTTTATAATTCTGACCTGAGAGCCTCCAGTCTACAGTGTGGACTCTCGAGTCCAGCACAGAGCAGCTTCACTCCTGAATCCTGCAGGTTGTTGAAACTCAGGTCCAACTCTCTCAGACTGGAAGACTGGGAGCTGAGTACTGGTGCCAGAACTTCACAGCTTCTCCCTGACAGGTTACAGCCACGTAGCCTGAAGAAGAAATAAAGATATGGACGTACTGATAAATTCTGTTTTTCCACAGTGCAAAAGCAGCACATTTTTAATATTTTGGTCACTATGTCATCAAATGGATTTTGATCTTGGTCGAGAGAATTCGTTTTTTTTGTTTTTACTGTGAACCAACAATGGTAATTAACCAGTTATAACTGCATTTCAGGTCTCACAATTAAGTTCAAATATAGCTGTTGGTTTTTTACTAAGCACTAGATACTAAGAGATTACTGTGCACTGCTGAATTTATATTAAGAGGTAAAGATAAATGTAGCAGATATTTTTCAATTAAATCAACAAATCAATCAGTGGAGCAAATCCTATGACTAATAATCAACTAAAGGAATCAGTATGCTTCAAACAAAGTGCTAGCTAGATTGTTGATCAGCAGGGGTAAAGTACAGTATGTGCTGTTATCTCCATTTATACACCGATCAGCAATAACATAGTGACCAGCTGGGCACCCTGGTGGTCAGAATGTTCTGCAGCCCCATAGCAACAAACTGTGATGCACTGTGTGTTCTGACACCTTTCTATCAGAACCAGCATTAACTTTCTCAGCAGTTTGAGCTGCAGTAGCTCGTCTGTTGGATCACAATGTGATGGCTGATCAGTGTATGATTCATCATGTCATGTAGACACTCTTTAGGATGGTAGGTTTTTTATCCCATCTTTGAATGTGGACAATCGCAAACAGTCATAAACGCTAGTAGGAACTAGTTCATTTGAAGCACACCAAACCCTTAAGAATCTCTTTTAGGACCACCTTGCATATTTGGATTGTTTTATCTGAGCACCTACAGAGCTCTGTTGGAGGCTTTGACCACTGGCAGCAGCTTCAGAAGAGCATCCTCTGAAGCGGAGTATTTCTTCAGATCGAACACATCCAGGTCTTTTTCTGATGACAGTAAGATGAAGGCCAAAGCTGACCAATGAGCAGGAGAGAGTTTGACGGCGGAGAGACTCCCTGAATGCAGATACTGTTGGATCTCCTTTTCTAGAGAATGATGATTCAGCTCATTCAGACAGTGGAAGAGATTGATGATTCTCTCTGGAGAAGGATTCTTGTTGATCTTCTTCTTGATGTACTCAGCTGTTTCCTTACTGGTCTCTGAGCTGCTTCTTTTCTTTGTCAGAAGGCCTCGTAGAAGAGTGTGTTTTGTCTGCACTGAAAGACCCAGGAGGAAGCGGAGGAACAAGTCCAGGTGTCCATTTGGACTCTGCAAGGCTTTGTCGATAGCAACCCTGTGGACCTCTGTTGTAGATGCTCGGGTGAAAAGTAGCCACAGTCTTTTGAAGGCTTCCTCCGGCTCAGACATTACATTTCTGTTGCCATTGATGAGTGACATCTCCACATGAAGAGCAGCCAGAAACTCCTGAACACTCAGATGGACAAAGCTGAACATCTTGTCCTCATCCTTCATCTTCCCATGCTCTTCTTTAAAGATCTCTGTGAACACTCCTGAGTACATTGAGGCTCCACTGACTTCAATGCCACTTTCTTTGAGGTCTTTCTCATAGAAGATCAGGTTGCCTTTTTCCAGTTGATGAAAAGCTAATTTTGCTAATGACTGAAAGTGCTGAATACAATTGTCGTTTTTAAAATTACTTTTTGCCTGATCAATCTGGAACACCAAGAATTCTGTGTACATCTCAGTCAGGGTCGTGGGCAGTTCTCTTCCCTCACTGGTCTTCAACACATCCTCCAGTACGGTCGCAGTGATCCAGCAGAAGACTGGGATGTGGCACATGATGTGGATGCTTCGTGATGACTTGATGTGAGAGATGATTCTGCTAGCCTGCTCCTCCTCTCTGAATCTCTTCCTGAAGTACCCCTCCTTCTGTGGATCGGTGAACCCTCTCACCTCTGTCATGATGTCAATAAAGTCCGAATGAATCTGACTGGCTGCTGTTGGTCGAGTGGTTATCCAGAGGCGAGCAGAGGGAAGCAGATTTTTCCTGATGAGGTTTGTCAGCAGCACGTCCACTGAGTCTGACGTTGTCACATCAAAGTCAACTTCTGGTTTTTCATTGGTGGAGCATTCTAGTTGAAGATGGCTCTCGTCCAGTCCATCCAAAACAAACAGAAGTTTGAATTCACTCTTGTCAAAGTTGGTGTTTCCTGATGCCTGTAATTTTTTGAAGATGTCATTGAGAGCCTCGTTCTTGATGTCTTTGGTCTCTCTGATACAGGTGTGAATGAGCTCTGCCAAACAAAACTTTTTCCCCTTCAGTAAATTCAGCTGACGGAAGGTAAAAGGGAATATAAGATCCACATCTTTATTGGCTCTCCCTTCAACCCAGTCCAACACAAACTTGCGCACTAGAAACGTTTTGCCAATTCCTGCGATTCCACTGGTCAGCACTGTTCTTATGGCTCTGTATTTCCCAGAAGGAGGTTTGAACATGTCACTGGGTTTAATTGGTTTCTCTGTTCCTGCTTGCTTTCCTGCCATCTCAATTTGCATGACCTCATGCTGTTGGCTGATGTGTACTTCGCCCCCCACTGTTATGTACACCTCTGTGTAGATATCATCCAGTGGTTGCTCATCCTTCTTTTTAGTCCACCCTTCTTGTGCACACATAAACTTGTCCTGGAGGTTTGATTGTAGCTTTTGTTGGTAATAGGTGATTGGCTGCAGAGGCTCTGATACTTGCAATGTCACATCTGTGTAGAATAAAGTAACATAAAAAATAGTATCAGTGTCCATAAAGAAGTTATATTCTTTGAAAGTCTTCAGGCTGACTGAGAAAGGCATTTTAAAAGAATAAGACACAATCTAAGATTATATTATATTAAAAAAAACATACCTTTACATGGCAAATTCTGTGCCAGATCTCTCATTTTGAGCTTCTCTAAAACCTCGTGGGCCACTTTCAGAGCTTCAGAAAAGCCATAGGTCTGCACCATCACATCCACTGTGTCCTGCCTGTCTGCTTTCTCCAGACGGCACACTTTGATGCCCTTGGGGTTACTGCAGAGGTGCCACTTGAACTTCTTGAAATCATCTTCTTTCAAGTCCTCCAGAGTGTTAAAGAGGCGCACCTTTGACATTGTTCACCAAAGTGACATCTGCGAAGACATTTTGTTCTGTTCATTAGGTTCTAAATACCTTTCATAATTGATTAGTTTCACTTTCTTGGCAATTTATTCTACTCACAACAACCCATAATGACAAATTAAAAACAAATTTTTAGAAGATTTCGCAAATTTGTCAACAATCAAAAACTGAAACATTCCGTAATCCAACCCTGTATTTAGTAGGACTACTTTTTAGAAGCACCTTCTTAGTAGTTATGGCTTCAAGTGTTAAAGATTCTGAAGTATTAGGTATTATTTTAATTTATTAATCACTTTTTATTTCCAACGAGTGAAAGGGTTATAGGACAATAATTATACCATCCCCAACTTTCTTTTAATATGTATTTCTATGTAGAGATGCACTGATGTGACGTTTATGTGTGCTCCCAAGTGCCTTCTTTCCCTGCTTCCCTACAGTTTCCACAGTGTGCAACACTAGCTAACGTTAGCTTCTAAATGGAGTCTAGGAATGTCTACAGAGTCAGTCAACACAAAGTCAAAGCTAACATTACTGCAAAGCTGGTGAAATATATTGTGATATTGTGGTTTTAACTGGCTAACACTAGCTTGCTAAAACTGATCATTTGCTAGCAAGCTAACATAGCAAAATAGCTTCATCCAGACTCCCAGCGTTGATCTGCTGCACCGGGTTAGTCAGTAGCATGGAGTCAGTGGCCAAAATAAAATATAGGAACATTGCAGATAGTAACATTGCCACATGGCCATTGGTGTTGCTATTAACAATGGTTTTCATAAGTAAGCCAAGATAAGTCCACAAGTGTTGCTTGCATGGATTTGGGAAGTTTCTCCCATTCGACCTAACGTAAGTCAGTCGGCCATCTTCATGTTTCAGATTGTCTCTCGGGTTCAAGTCTGGGATTTGGCTTGACCATTCAAGAACGTTGAGAGCCTTAAGGTTGTAGCATACAGAACTCATATCAGAACTGCTTGTTGGACAGTCAAATAGCTTTGTATGCCCCCCTCACTGGGTGTCCTGCAGACATAAACCTATCCCTCAATTTACAATAAATGATAAATACAATTAGGGTTAATGAACTCATTTTGTGAGTGAGGGGTAAGAGGCTGAGCTCTTCATGTTTATTACAAGTAGGACAAGTGGTGTGGTGCATCAGCAGGAATCCCTTCCCAGTCTTCATTGAAAACCATTTATAACCCTGCACTACCATCTGGAACTAACGGCTTGTTCACACTGCCTACCTGCGTGTGGGTGGCGCAACATCTTGCTTTTATTTCGGCAAAAATGTAACCCGCCAGAGATGATTAGAGTAAATGAACTCAGCTGTGGCAATTTTTTCAATGAGTGGAAAAAGAGAAACTTTTCTTAATTCATCTCAATACTGTAAAACCATATGGTCGTATTTTTTTCCCAAGACACCAGGAAACTGTATTTTGCTCTACAAAGTCCAAGAGGTTCCAAAAGATTGTGTGATTTTCTTATCTGGCTGGATAAGACTTTACTGTGCTAATAAGTAATCTTACTGCGAAAACAAGATTACATTGTGGAGCAAATGCTGCAATCACATGGAACAGCACCTTCCTCGTATGTGATGTCGTACTTTTTTTTTACAAATAATGGAATAAATGAAATAAAATTATTTTGTGAATATTATTTTATGTAATTTATAACTATTATTGTGTCCATGTTTTATCCTTGTGTGAGGGAGCTATGTAACATTTGACTTTAAATAACATCATGGAGAAAGGCAAAAAGTTAAAACATTTTATTTATTTGGACCGCCATTTACGGTTATTGTTGGCGGTATTCTCTACCGTCCTCATCCAAGTTTACCGTCTTCCTTTCATCCACTAACATAACCAGTTTGCCGCATACCATTTCCCTGAAATTTTAAATCTGCTTTGAGGCAGAATTTTGTTGCTTGGGTCCCTGTCCTCTTAACCACAAACAACAATAACAAATAATAATTTAACAATGAGCAGTTTAAAATAGAGATATTTGAGCTGGTGCATGGAAGGAACAACACAGAACTCTTACCTGTTTCTGAAGGTTTGAAGAATATTAGGACCTGCAAACAACATTGAAGTCCAGTCAAACTGCCGTCTGGCTGCTGCATTGAAGTCAAATACGTTTTTTTTTAAAAAGGAAGAGAGAGCATGTGAACATGTTGATAGACTTTGTCTGTGGTTTAACTTGTATGTGAAATTGAAACTTAAACTTCAGCTCAATTTCCCTTCTGAGCATCACCTGACAGTTAATGTAGGATTCCTTTTTTAGTTAGGCACAGCAGTGCTTTGAGCAAGATGCATGCTAATATGCTGAGGTGAACATGAATGTTATGTTATAGCAAGCCATCACATAGTTGTTGAGACATTTCACTAAAAGCCACAAATGTCAGCATCACGGTAGAACTGCAGGAAACTTCAGCCAGTTTTCATGGCAATCCAATCCATCCAATAGTTGTGAAGATATTTCAGTCTGGACCAAAGTGATAGATTTACTGGCCAATTGATCGACAGATTGACATTGCCATCCATAGAGCCTCATCGCTACCACAGCTAAAATCCTCTGATGACAATAATGTCCAGGAAAAATACCTGCGAGGTACTGCCACCAACAGTAAACACAATAATCTCTAATCTGCAAACACTGTCAGAGACTACAGAAATACCATAATAGTTCAGAATATAATAAGTGCAAAGAACTGGGTCACGTGTATGAGGAGCTATAAAAGTAGGCAAATAGTCTGAAGCAGGTCACTCTAGTCTGCTGTGTAAGCGTTTCCTCCCTCAGCTCAAATAGTCCGAGCAGCTCTTTCGGACAGTAAACCCCTGGAGAACTAACTTTCAAAATCCCAGTGCTCATACCAAGGCCCAGGTGATTTTATGAAGTTACTATAACTAAAGTTCTGGAACAAGACAATGCCACTCTCAGTAATTCTAAATCACCTGTGCCATGGGCCGCGTAACTGAACATCAAACATGTAAAAAAAAAAAAAGGAAATTCTGGTAGCCACATATATCAAACTCAACCTATGAGAAAGCAATACATTCTGCTATCTAAAAGTGTATTGGCAATTGTGTCGTGTGACGTAAATCAAACCTTTCCCATTCAAATGCTGGCGGCCTGGCGCTGCGCTTCCCTGCCACTTTGTTAGCTTTAAAGTTTTACTGAAAATAAAACACAGAAAAACACTTGGAAAGGGGACTGCAGCTGCTGTCACTCCACCCGACCGCGAGCCCTCTGGGGAAGCTTCAAAAGAATGCTCCATATCTGCTGCTGCTTCACCTCGCCAGTTTGCTGATGTACCAGAGAGCAATAGCCCTGGATGTGACTTTACTGCTGCCACACTGTGTCTGTTGAAATTATTCTACGCCATCCCTGTGTCAACTGCAACCGCCATCGTTGAAAGACAGATTTGATATGAACGGTGACCTAGAGAGGACTAAATAGTTTGATGTGCGCCCACACACACACAGATTTTTTGGTTTTCTCCTACCATCAAGACATGTGTTGGGGTTATTACTTCCAGTTCTTCTTTTTCTTACGCCATTACAGGAACCACAAGGGAATAATAAAACTGTGAGCTCATCAAGACGTGTCCACACCCTGAGTCTTTGGTCCTTGGGTTCCTAATCCGCTTTCAGCCACATCGTGACTCTCACTTTTTGTCTGCTCATCCCCATGCAACCGAGCCCTTTCATTGCTCTCCTCGACCCCTTTCATCATTGACCCTCATCCAGAAGCCCATCTGAATGAATACTTTTTTACACCGCGTACCACCGCATGAAAGCCCATCAAACCTTCAGATGGGTTGCTGTAGGTGTGGGATGGGGAAGAAAGAAAATATTTTCTACAGGACAGATTAATCCTGATGAATTCTTACCAAAATAATGATCTAAAGTCCAGTCTGGCTGCGCTGAGGTCAAGTATGTTTAAAAGAGGAAAGAGACTATGTGAATGTGCTGACAGACTTTGTCTGTGGTTCTGTGGTTTTACTTGTATGTAGAATAGAAACGTCTTTCCTTTCTGAGCATCATGTGACAGTTCATTTTAATCGTATTTTTGTTGCAGTATTTCAGTACACTTCCTCATGTTACGTGATGATGTGACAGTCTGTCACTGTACTTCACAAACTTTAAAGATGAATAACAAGATTCAGAGTCTGCAGCCACACACACTTGCAGCTCTGTGAGGTTTAGGCACTGTGTTTGCTAAATATTAACATCAGCATGCTAACATGCTTACTCAACAAGTTGTTTAAAGGAATCAGCAGCCGACACTAAGTATGGGTGCCCAGCATACAGAAACTGCCCGATGCTAACTTGCATATGTTGGGCAATTAGCATAATTAGCATTATTAGGATTTAAATGGCATATTGGCCTATATGGACAATATTTCAGCAACTTCTTGGCTGATTTGGACAGTATAGGCTTTGGGGGTTATTAAGGGGGTTACTGAGCATGCTGGCCTTTTTGTATTAGTATGTATTATTATATCAATACCTTTACATACAACATAAAACTTTGGGGTACTCAGCGTTTCCGGGTTCCCAATGGGGCTCTATTGGCTGGCAATTAGACTATAAGTATCTAACAAAAAGCTGAATTATAAAAAAAAAAAACTCAAGTGTGTGACTTAAGTCTGACTCAAGTCTACAGTACAATAGCACGGCTATTGCCCTCAGTCATGGCTGCCTCATCACGAGTTAGTTATTTTTTCTCTTACAGTGGGAAGGCTCCTCTGACTCAGATGTAGTAGGATGATGCTCACGAGGCTGATTGAGTCAGCAGAAGCCTCCCTATTGTGTAGTTGTGGATGACAAAGAGAGACAGGCCGGGAGTTCATCTTAAACCTTAATTTATCCTTCATTTCCAAAAGGCCTGACTTTTGAGTCAAGTTGAGTGTAACATAGAACAAAGACTGCAGCCAGCTCTGTAGTGATAACCTGAGATGACGGTGCTGAATGTGTCCATCACCGCTGCTGTGTGGGTGATTCTTCTGTTCTGTCATGAGTGGTTATGGCTCATATGTCAGTTTGCTTCTGGAGGCTATATTCCCAGTATTCAAACATGTCTCATCCACACTGTATCAGAATGGTACAGAGCAAGACTAGATTTGGGAGTCAGGTTCACTATAAAACAGTTTATCTTGCTTTAAAATGATCACAAATAATGATCTTGGTTGCTGATGGAGAGCGATGCTTTAAAGGACCAGTGTGTACGAGCCTCAGGTCAATTGTGAAAGTGAACCCTCAACTGAGTCGGGACAAATCCATGTCAAGTTTCTAGTCAGTCAATGCCTGGTCTAAAGTCTGCTGAGACAAGTCAAAGTCAAGACTGAACTGAGTCCAATTAAAATCTGATAAATCTGTGTCCACGTCAAGTCTTCAGTCAGTTGAGACAATCTATCTAAGTAACAAGTCTTCAGTCAGTTGCAACGCTTTAAGGTACGTCTGAATGGTTATTGATTGAGCATTCAGATTTATTCCTCTGCAGTTGGGTAGTCTAATTAAAGGGCTAGACATCACACTGGAAATACCATGGAACTGTGGCATGCACCGTTATCCACAACTGTGACTGTAGTTATTCAATATTTGATGAAATACTGTATTGTAATTGCAGACAAACAATAAGGAGTAAGACTCTAAGTTTATTAACAAATAGAACCCTTAACAGCATCACAGTAGGGAATAAATAAATCTGCAGACATAAACTTATCACTCAATTTACAATAAATCATAAATGCAATTAAGGTAAATGAAGTCATTTGAGTGAGTGAGGGTTAGAGGCTGAGTTCGTCATGTTTCTTACGATTAGGACGAGTGATGTGGTGCATCAGAAGGAGTCCTTTTCCAGTCTTGGTTCATTGAAACATATTTATAACCCTGCACTACCATCTGGAATGGCTTCCTTTCCCACATCTGCGACTGAAGCTAACTGCTTCATGGAAATACATTCACAAGATCCAGTGTTTAGTTTTGAACATCTGTTAACTCTTGAAATTTTACATCATTTGCTGAAAGCTGCAGCTGCTGGGAGAGAGCTTTACAGCATCCAAATAATTCATTAACATGTCATTTATCAAGCAACAAGAGTCGGCAGCCGCGCTAGCAGCTCTGTGTGCCTCTACTAAGACAAGTGAGCTAATGCTAACGTTAAAAGCTAACATAAAAAATGAAAATACTAACATGCTGATGTTTAGCAGGTATATTGTTTACCATGTTCATCATCTTGGTTTAGCATGCTAACACTTGCTAATTAGAACTTAAAAAGTACAGCTAGGGGTAAAAAAATAAAAATCACATCACATTGCGATCGGATTCACGATTAGTAGGAATGATCAATTTTGCCTCGCAATTTTTTCATGTGATGATGATTTGTTGGGGTCTGTACCAAACAAACATATTTTTTATACATATGGAGAACAAGGCTGGTAACTCTAGGTTGTCTCCACAGCACTACAATGCTTCATTATCACACATTTTACCTGTCCTCAAAAGAGGTCGATCTACCTCTGGACTCCTGTTTCAACAGATTTAGAGAGGGGAGCACGATATCGCAAACAAGTTGCTTTGTCATCACTATCTTGGATGAGCACCTTTTGCTGAAGCAACAACATCAGTTACTGATACTGATGTGATATCAGAACGTATCCCTCTGATATCTTGTAGGCAGGAATGAGTGGTAGCAGCTAGAAATATTTCGTAACATATTGTATCGGTTCTTGAAAACACTGTACTGGTTTTTGTGATTGCACCGCTAACTGCTAGATAGCAGTGTTGTGAATATAAACTGAGGCCCTAGTAGCAGCATGGTTCTATGATTGTACTTGGTTAAGAAGCCTTATTGTTTCTCTCCTTTCTTGGTTCGTGCTGATGAAATGAGGTGAATCGCAGTGTAAAGGAAGCCATTCTAGAGTAATTAGATGCACCACATCCTGAAACATCGCGGTAGAAATGTACAATTATTGCAGAAAGTCCTGCTTCAGTCACAGTACAACAACCTCAGGATAAATTAGACTAACAAGCACACACACCCACCCACCCCCCATCCCCACATACTGAACAAATTACACAATGGCAATAATCATCATTGCCTCACCCAGCCTGTCTACACATAGCTTTATGTCTGTATGTGATTCCAAACACAACAGAGACATCCTTCATGTCCTTCACTCCTCCTTTATCTTGTTGGTCAGTGACGTTGGGTGGACAGTGTCGTGTGAATCGGGGGGGTCGTAGGGTCCGTTGCTGGTGTTGGTAGGAGGACCCCCGTCTGGAAGAAGTAAAGCTGAAAGAAAAGAGAAACAAATGAACGACTGGGTCCAGGTTCAGGGCGTGTAGATGACCTGACGCCACATCCACAGAGCTCACTAACCTTACAGCCGATAGCCAGCAGCATGTGCAAAACCACGATGGTCGCAACTGTAGCCACGGCCATCACCTTGGTGTCGTCACGGACAACGGGCCAGAAGGTGAGGACCAGGACTGAGCCAGAGATCGCCATGGCAACCAGGATCAGTGTCCAGCGCAACCACTCATACGGAATGATCCACAAAACCTGGAGATGAACGGGTTACCCGCTGGTTACTGATGAGCCTAAATGTGTTTGGTTAATAAAAAATCAAACTCTGGTGCAGACTAAACCAGACCGAGACCACCTGAAGAGGGGTCTGAGTCCGCTTCCAAGAGGACTCTGGTGTGGTTCGTTTGTGGTGTAAAAGCAAAGCAGGCCAACCACAGGATTTTGCAATATATATTATTTTGGCATGAACAGACCTTTTTCACAGCAGCCATTTTGACATGAAAAAGTAGGGTAAATAAAGGTGTTATTAATGATACTAATTAAGGTTCCGTTCCATTTAGTGTGGAGGTATCTATGGTACAGAACTTCAGGAGTGCTGCAGGGTTGACATATTTTTGTAGACCAACTCAGAAGTTAGCATCGCCATGGTTCCTTTGGAAAAAAAGCCAATGGGATCCCAGTTATCATGGGATTGTATATGTTCAAATCAGTTATCTGGGCACTTAAAGGACGAATACTTCGTCTTCCATCTGCTGATGAAGTTTAGTTCTGATCACACTTTTTACCATGCTAGGAGTCTGTTGGGATAAACTAGACAGACTGTTTTACCCCCCTGTATCTTTCCACTGAAGTTGATGCCCTATACTGGGATCATTGTGACCCTGACATTCATTAGTAAACCTCAGGAGAGGGTGAGGGACTCACCGAGGTGGGGATATAGATGAAAAGGGAGTAGCCGTAGACGCACACAGTCTCCAGGAAGGAGTAGCCTCCAATCTGCCTCTCATTCCCTTGGCGCCAGGTCAGGAAACCCCATACCCCAATCGGCACCAGCCAGGCATACATGAAGATGACTACTGCAGCTATCGTCACTGTTGGTCAAAAGCAGGACAAAGAAACAGGGAGGACTGAGTGAAACTGAGTCAGACTGAATCTGGTTCATCAGAGGCTGAGAGGAGGACTTACCTCTGTGGAACTGTGGTCTGTAGTGGTAGGCAGGGTCTCCCATCTTACTGAGGAAGGTGGACAAGTTCCCACTGATCGCTACTGAGAAAACCAGCGTCACACAGATCCAGAATGGACCTGCGCACGCACACACACACACACACACACACACACACACACACACACCACACACACACACACACACACAAATGTATATTATTAGACATGAAGGGTTTCAGTGACTGCCTAACTTACTGAACCTACCTTCCAAACTGACCTTCAGCACCAAATGTCTACTGAAACAGTTTCTAATCTCACTCCAGCCTAAATCAGAGAGTTTACTCTTACCTCTGTGGCTGAAAGATAAAGTGAATGTGAAAGTGCCAAAAACTCCAGCGGCCACTTGAGGCTGGCACTGAAAGTGAGATCTCCATAAGATGTTCTCCATGTTTTCAGTAACCTGGCTTCATTCAGCCCACCACAGCTTCACCTACACCAGTGGTTCTCAAACTTTCATCATTCCAATGTCCAATTCAATGTCATTCCCCACTTTGGACAAGGGAGAATTTTCAAGCCCCACCTGCCCCCATCGCCCCAACACAATGCTAATGAAATATGCAACAAGCTTAAAATGTTCCAATTTATCGAAGTAACAAGTAGTATCAGTATAGTAACAAGTTGTATCTAAATACAAACTATCTACATCAAATAACAGCAAGTTCAAAAATAAAGAAAATAAAAGTGCAGCTGCGTCAAAACTTGTATCATGTTCAAAAATAGAAAAGAAATAAAAGTGCCACTTTGCAAACCCTGGAAAAGATGTTTTGAAGAAAAGAAAATTTCCTCTCGTTTGGCGCGCCCCACCTGTCACGTCTCTACTCCCCACCAGTGGGGCGCGCCCCACACTTTGAGAACCACGGACCTACACTGACAGTCTTTGCCCAGTTTTAGATCAGCAGGGAGCCGGCGAAGTCAAGACCGCCAAGATGGCAACGGTCAGAGCCGACCTCAGAGGCACTTTCAAAAACCATGGGTGATGTCCCAGAGACTACGTCCATGAATTAGAATGTAATGGTGTGTGCATTTGTCCCGAGCCGTTTGGTACAGGACGTTCTGTTCGGTATGGCTGCATATTATCTAAATCGCAATAAAGCCAGGTGTAATATCCAGATCACAAGAAGCTGCCATTTTTTGGTAAAGGTCAAATGTGACAGCATTGTAATGGAGTACTGTAGTGCTGCAGAGGTTCCTTGGCCTACACTTGTTGTTCTCCAGAAGTAAGAAAACATGTTTGTTTGGTCATCACAATATATATTTTTTTTAATTTAATTTGTGATTGAAAAAATAATCATTCCCACACTAATCGTGAACTATATATCTCAGTATATCTCAGCCACTTGTACACATTTTACCTTACCATTTTACCATTTACCCTTGGCAGTGGACCCGTTGTTGTCTATCAGCTGTAGCATGCTTAGCCAGGTTAGTCAAGCTGAATAAGCAATGATTAGCACCAAACTGTGCACCGAGACAAGACGAGAACCAACAGAAAACAGACTAGCAGCCTCTCACTGCAGATGTGGACCGTGGCAAAGTAATAACTAATGTTCTAGAGTGTTATATGATATGTGACCATACTCTGTTAACTACAGGATTTCAGCACGTGCTCTACTACAATGTGCCTTCGTGTCTGCATTTTAATGCAGTTGTGCTGCTCTGTATAAATGAGTGCAAGCTTCAGTCCAGCAGTTACCAACAGGGCAGAGTCTTACGATGGAGCATTACTGACATTTGTGTTATTTATTTGTGATTCATTTCTTACTGACAGTATGCCAGTATGTGAGTGCAGTTACTGTTAGAGTAAGAATTTAACAGATCTAATGAGCTACTGTTAAATGTTAACATTTTCAAAATAAAAGACAAAAATGTTTTCCTTGCTGTACAGAAAATGTACCGCACTGTGTCTCTGAAACCGAGATACACACCATTACCCCTCTAGAACGTGGCAAGGTGCAACATCTGTGTAAACAAAACTGCTGACAGTTCAACAAGTGGCTTAACAGGACAGGCAGGCCTGATGACAAACACAACAGTAGACGGATGTATTGTACTGTATTATATTCCCCACAGTCTCTGTGTTTACATTCTTTCATTTGCTTTGTGATACAGAGCGAAGGAGTGTCCACACTTTTACAACTGCACTTACATCCAGGTAGCCTCCCTTTCACCTTGCCTCACGGCTGCCGCTACCTCTGCTTCATTCACTCTGACAGAGAAAGGCTCATGCAGTGATGTCGTTGCTAGACTTGTTTTCATGCTGTCTTTCTTCTCAAAGATCTCCAGCGGCATCAGAAACATATCGGGGGGTGAAACACGAGCAGCCCAAGCTGACCAATCACAGTTCTTCTTGTCTCCACTCTCAAGCTGGTCCATTTTTGAGGAGATGCACGTCAACTACATTGACTGCACTGTGTACACCGCATAAAAACATCTTCATGTGGGTTCTTTAGACCCAGACAAAAGGAAGAATAAAAAAGTGATTCTCCACAGGCTTACCATACAGATCTGGGTTATTCCTAAGGTGGTGTTTGATAAAGTTTCTTCCAGGTAATGGCATTACCGACCCCTTAACCCGGTCCAGCACCTGTGTGACATCATGGGGAGTCAAGCAAAAGAGAACGATAAAATATAGATGTATTTCTAAGAGACTGGTTTATTATAAAGAGCGTATTTGTAGAGAGGGAGTGTCTCATACCTGCATTGTGTCCACATTGAAGAAAGACTGATAGTACTCAAAGGTCCAGAAGCCCCCAGTTGCTTTCTGTCCTCCTAACAGCTGGAAGCACACACATCTTTCAGCTGCTGTCCACTCAAAACATCCAGACTCTCAACCTGTGTCGTGGTGACATAAGTCAGCACAGATACTTTACACACCTCCGAGCTCTCCTCCTGGCCCTCCTCGTCCTCTGAAAGATCTAGTTTCACATCCTCTCCTCCTCCTCCTCCTCCTCCTCCTGCTGCTGCTGCTGCTGCTGTGGCTGTAGTGGTGTTGTTTGAGGCAGACATACTGAGTGTGGAGGCCCCCGGGTCAGCAGACAGAAGCTCTGCTGCTTCCTCGAACTCTACAGACGTACGTCAAGAAACACAAAGAGTTAGTGACGGTAGCAGTGCTACAACGGGGGTTCTAATGGGACAGGGACCTGTACCACGAAGCTCAACTCAGTCTGCCTCTCTCTGGGTTACATGAACATTGGTGATCCTGGATAACTGGTATCTTTATTGCCTGTCACCTTACTGTAAAGTCCATCTTTATGTCCCTGCCAGGACGCTGTAGGAATCATGACTCTGTATTTCCTGTGATCTGATTGGTCAGTGTTTGGACCTGATGGCAGGTTAAGATCTGATCCTCTGCTCTGGAGCAAGTGCAGTCTGGTTACTAGAGCTGCAATTATTAGTTGATTAATTGATTTATGGTCATCTATTAAATTAATCACCAACAATTTCTTCTGATTTCAGCTTCTCAAATGTGAATATTTTCTGGTTTCTGTAGTTCTCTCTGACAGTAAACTGAGTATCTTTGGGTTGTGAACTAAACAAGACATTAAGGACGTCGCGTTGGGCTTTGGGAAACACAATCTGACATTTTATGGACCAAAAAACTGATTGACCAATCGAGGAAATTATCGACAGATTAATCGATAATGAAAATAAGCGTTGGTTACCATGGTGATCTAACTCGTTTACAAGTGAGCCCACTTCACAATACCAGAAATCCTTAGATGAACCCAAAGAGAGCTCAATAACTACTACTCTCACTTTGTCGTACAGACCCCTGATAAGGTTTTCCACAGATTTTCTACTGGCTGATCAGGAAGAAAAATTAACACACACACGACGACTGACACATGATCTTTGTGTGGTGATGCAGTCGTAAAGTTGGACTGTCTTCAACACTTTTTGAGTCAGCTACTAAACAAAGGTACTGTAATGACGAGCTATTGTGAGAAAATGTGATCTAAAATACAAGCAATGAGCAAGTTTGAAAGCAGGTAGTGTAAATTTGGACATTTCATGAATTCAAAAGGTTGCTCTACAGAGGCCAACCCATCCAATAAACATTAGGGAGCACAGTTTTTGAACGTCACATGGTCAGCCAAGTGCCACTAGAGGTCGCTGTATCGGAGGTGCTTCTCATCTGGCTTATTTCATGTATCCTTGCTCCTTGGCCTGGAAATTGGTCGCCATGAAGGATGTCTCAGTTCGGCCCTTACTGTTTAGAGGAGCAAGGCCATCCTTTACTGAAGTCCTTTATGAGAAAAGCAGTTTACCTTTAATATTCATCTGTTAGTGATAGGACATATTATTGGGCTATTCTGAGACTGCATCATCACAACGCAGCAGTTTTATACCAGGACAAATACAACTCAGGCGTCATATCACTCCCAATATTTAGGTTTCATTTGTTTTCTATTCAACTTCAGGTTAAAATAGTGGATCTGTGTTATCTCAAAAATAACTCTCATCATTCATCAGAAGGATTTGTCTTTTCATGATCTGTTATTTCCCCTTTCAACCCTTCTTATGGATAACATTACACGCTGAAAGAGCAGGACAGTCTGTTGTTATTCAACAAGAAACACATTCTAATTATCTATCCACATCATTTCCACTCAGTCACATGTGACACTGAAAAATCTTTGAAAAGCCTTGCCTGGTGCAGCTTCGCCATGTATCCATCAGTTTAGGAACGACAGACAGACAGAGACATTAGAAATGAGGAGGGAATGAAAGGAGCAAAGCCAGGCAGGTGGAGGAGTAAAACAGAAGGGGGGGAGAGAAAACCAACAGACTCTGGAGCAGACACATACATTTGAATTATGGTCCTACCTTGGAATTGTAGATCATCTGGACTGGCCATGTCTTCAGTGAACAGACAGCAACCTCATGCAGGAGCTAGGAGAAGAACAACAGTGAGGTGAGATGTGTCCGCACACTGAAGCTCCCTGCAGGCTGTTCATTTAGCAAGCAGCAAGCGAACCCATAAAGACGCTCTTTAAAGTATACAGTTACACATACTGATCCAGTTACGACTGGATAAAGCACAGATTACAACCCAACCTGTCCGCAGCAAGATGTCCCTGATGGTGATGGCGTGAGAAAGCTGTGACAGCTAAGACAAGCTAGGCTAAATACACACTAGCGCCCTTGTTTCTCATTTGTTTGAGTGTGAAGATAGCTAACGTGAATATAGGACAACACAGTCCATGTAGGTTTAATAAACTTACTATAACTAATACTAATACACTGCTGACGCTCGTCTTTCACAGCTAGCGTAACTGCTGTCAGTCAGACCGTGTAGTTGGCATGTCTTCCGGTACACGTCACCACGTAAACAAAGATGGCACGTGAACCGTCTTCTCTCTAAAAGGGGGTTTGTCGATAAAATGTGACGTACTTTGTAACGCACAGTCCAATTTACGTTACAATTACGGCAAAACTTGAATACTTTTAACTTTACGTTTGTTTCTAACACATAATCTGTTTATGTGACAGCTAACGGAACGTTTGCGAGGTGGAGCTTTCTGTCGGAAGATTAAAACCGATTCACCTTCCGGGCGCCATTTTGGCTCCATGTGAGCTGTCTTCTGCCACAAGCAGTATGTTTGTTCTGCGTGAAGGTGACCGTACTGGAGAATAAAATCTGTTCAAATGGCTTCGTTGCGTGTAGTGAGGAGGATGTTCTGTGCGGCGGCAGAAGCAGCAGCAGCTCCGGCCGCCGGCGGAAGATGGGAAAGACTGAAAACTAGTAAAGCGGGTGAGAAACTGAGCACGACTCCTTCACGACAGCTCGTTAATGTGACAGTTGAGGTTACAGGGACACCACTAACTAGCTTTTCACATACAGAAACATTCAATATTTGTTTCTCCTGCTGCCCTGAACACTGGTTATATAATATTTGTAGAAGGCAAACATAACGGAGATGTTCTGCCTTATTTTCATTACGGAGGAACCTACTGTATCATTGTAATCTGCAAATATTGGCTAACATTAGATGTTAATGGTTCTTTCCCATGCTAACTTAAATATATGAACTCATATACTGTTTGTTATAAGTGCACATTCGTAGCTTGTCAAAATGTGGAGTTGTTACCAATGTCATGGCTACTTTCATACCACTTAAAGCTGCAGTAGGTGACTTTTATAAACTTATATATTTTTTTGTCATATATATATATATAACTTTCACTATATCCTGACAGTAGTACATGAGACATATAATCTGTGAAAAAATCAGGTTCCTCCGGCTCCTCCTGGGGCTCCTAATGGCATTTACGAGAATCCACCGGGCCTGAACGAAAACAACCAATCAGAGCAGAGAAAGACAGTTGATCGTTGAGTCTCATTCCCAGGTTGTCAGATACTGATGCTGGAAATGAGACTCAACTATCTTCAAACCACCAACCCGAAGCGTCTTTATATCTGTCTTGGCTCTGGTTGGTTGTTTCGTAAACCACCAACCCGACAGAGGCCAATTTTCAAATTATCTGTCTCATGGTCTACTGTGGCTGTGGTTAGAGGCAGAGAGGTGTTCCTCAATCGAAGGCTCCTGGTGCCACATGTCGAAGTATCCTTGAGCAAGATACTGAACCCCATTCTCAGCGTGCACGTAGAACGGGCCAGAAGGAAGTTTCTGTTCCATGGACTTTGCCATCACTGATTGAATCTGTGTCAAAAATGTTAAAAGCCTACTGGTCGGAAGGAAAGGCGCTATACAAGTGACAGGTCCATTTACCATTTACCATTACATATGTGCAATTTCAGCAAATATGACAAAAAGTAATAATTTTTGTCTGTTGCTACTGCAGCTTTAATAACCACAGCTGATACTGACTTACAGGAACTGGTACTTGAGAGTCAATCTTGCATCAGCTAGCGTTATAGAAACCAATATCTTAAACCCCCTCAGTGCCCAGTCCTTTTTCTGTCTTGCCAGCTCCATCAGAGAGACACTGTAGTGCCCAGTGTGAGTGAAAACCTGAGGGTGTTCGGGTTCCATGTTAGTCCGGAGAAGTTCTCCAGGAAAATCTACACACAGCTGTCTGAATTGCAAAGCATTAAATAAAACAAAGAAACAAGGCTGGACTCTGTCACCACTCACTTTAAAATGTATGTTGACACAATATACTAGGGCTGTGTATTGGTGTTACAATATGATTCAATATATTGGGATACTGTGAGTATAAATCAATAAATAATCATCAATAATAAATATTATTATTATTATTATTATTATTATTATGTGCATAATATCAGTCCCTGTGACATCCAACATCACAGCCCTCAGTTTATGCTTACAACACTTTTTAGGTCTGGGCTTTAAATATAAAAATTGATACAGTGTTCTTAGGAATGAATAGTATAACGTATATACATTTTTGTAATAGTATCTCAAAACTAAATATTGCGATACCATACTTTTTTATATTTTATAAAAAATATATTCTTACAATATACCTAAAAATATAGTGTAGAATAGTGTTCATTAGATTAGCAGAGCAGATATTTTCCACTTCTTTCTAAACTACACAAGAACGCCGAACCACATTTTTCCTGTATGCATATAAAGAAATTATTAACTCCATTTACAAGGGAACTGTGGCAACAAAACAGTAGCAATATGCAATAGACACTTTATCAATACCAATAATACAATAGTTCAATACAATATCAATAGTTTTACCTAAATGCATTAAATGCAAACTGCTATAAAAGCACATAACGAATATGCCCTGGCTCATAAACAGCAGTCATATCCCGAGGTTATCACATTAGCTGCTTCCACCATTTGGAGTATGCAACCTCTGTTACATCTCAAGAACCAATCCACAGGCAGCCTACGATGGCAGCCCCTGTGTGTGTGTGTGTGTGTGTGTGTGTGTGTGTGTGTGTGTGTGTGTGTGTGTGTGTGTGTGTGTGTGTGTGCGCCCGCCCCCGTGCGTGTGCGCTTGCGCTTGCGTGCGTGCGTGTCTGGCTCTAAGCGTCCCTCCCTCTGTCTGTAGGTGCGTGGTGTCGCAGCCTGGTCTCTGACTACAAAGAGGCATGTCGGGAGATATTTGTTGGTGCGTGGGAGCGACCGGTCAAAGCCTCTGTATACATGAGTCTGCTGGGCGGGGTCTGGGCCTGTTTCTACACAAGACCTGACGAGTCGTCCTTTGAAGCCGCCCTGCTGGACCGCTCGAGCCAGCTGGGTCTGCTGTCGCCGTGGATCCGCAACGCGACCTCCGACGGTCACGTGCAGAGTCTAGTGAAGCTTCGCAACGAGGGCCGGCTCCACCACGTAAGCCTGGGCTTTCTCTCTCTGGTTTACCGCGCAGACTACGACCCGGACACCACGCTGTACGAGGCCCAGTGCTCCAATCTGTCAGTGCCCTGGAGGGAGCTCCCTCAGCGGATTCTAGACGTGGGCTTCGTCGGCCACTGGTGGATCCTGGACTCCAAGATGAAGGACTATGATGTGAACGAGGAAGAGTTCAAGCACTTGCCAGCACACATGCAGGGGACATCACCCCCCAGTGTTCAGGAGGTGGAGAGGAGCGAGAGGTTACATAAAGAGTCCTGGTTAGCACTGACCACGGAGGAGGAGGAGAAAGAAACAAATGTAGTGGACATAAAGCAGGAGAGTGTCAGTGAAGAGAGCCCAGTAAAAGCACTGGAACAGGAACAGACTCAGGCCTGAGTGCTGTGTGGGTCAGACCTTACACATGCTGGACCAGGGTAGTTCTTCTCATTTTTCATGCAGTGTTGGATTCAACAAACATAACCACTTTTAGCTTTCATTTTTCAGTTATGAACTGTCTGAACTGCCACCACAAACCGCCAACAAAGCCACCTGTCTAGTCAAAGTAAAAGCAGCCCTTCAGAATGAGTTAGGTTTTAATATATTCCAGCATGCTTTCTCTGTCACAGAAGGTATTACAAACCATATATACCATGAACCACGTATCAATAAACCTGTCAATTATCTCTAGATGTCTCACTGTTGCTTTATCTCACTTGACTCACAACTCCAATAACATATTTATACAGATCTTCAGCCTTCTACTTTTTAGCAATTCTAAGATGCAAACACAAGTTGCCCATTTTTCCTTTTCTTTTTTACTTTCGTTTGAACAGCCTTGCCGTCTTCTGCTTAATTTAGTGTTTTCCCTCACTGCATTTCGCTCTATTTTCTGCACCTGTGGGTGTGAAAGTATGTTAAATGTCTGCAGGATGGCAGCTGTGGGAAGAGGCCTCTCTGTTCTTTCACTGTGAGCAGCTGACACAAAAACCTGACATTTACCGCTGATGTTTCAAAGAACCAGAATGCTTTATAGCTGCCGTAGGAACACACTTGAGTGTGTTTACATGGGCCATTAGTATTTCAATTTCAATATTTAAATGACAAAAAGGGTGGAAACGTGCGCTGATACTACTCACTAGAATGATGTAAATGTAAAAAAAACTGCCAAGCCCCGCTATCACAAATGTGGATGTATCAATAAAGGGATAAGAGTTTCTTGAACAGCATATTCCAAAAATGATCAAAACCAGAAGCAGAAGTACTTTACTCAACCTTTCCTACAGGAAAAAGAGTACCAGAAGTTAAAGCTGTAAAATATCCCCTGTAACATTATATGAATGACATAATATTATGAAATGGGACATTATTGTATTATTATTATAGCAACAGGTCAGGAATTTCAGACCATCATTTTTTATGCATATATTTTGGACAATAGATTCAAAATATCTTTTTCTCAGTCTAGTTTTTCTTTTTCCATTTTGCGGGTACAAAGAAATACAATGGATATTAAAGGACTAATCTTTTACATTTTTGTCCCCCGGTCCAACACAACATTCCTGCAAGTACAATAAAAAAACTCATACTCAGCCCTTCCTTCTTACCATAGTGGCTGAGTCTGTCATCAAACAGAAGAACATGCAAAACAGCACTGTTCATGATTGGAAATATATTGACAAAGCATGCATCGAAAAGGAATTCTTCAGTGGTCCTGTGGTGTCTTTACTTTAATTATATCATTAATAATAGGGCATCAACCTTTCCAGATGACCCCTGTCAAATTCTACTTAATTTTCTCCATGTTTAATAGCATCATGAGGTCTTTGAGCCATAGAAACCATTTTGGGGGCAAATGGTACAAACTTCCACTCCAGCAATATTCTTCTACATGCTAACAAGGCAATACTGTCCTTTATTTTCTGACAAATTATTTGATGGTCCGGTATTGCCAACACCATGTTTAAAACATCACTATGGTGTTTGAAATAGCTATCCAGTAACCCTTGAGGACAAGACCAGATATGTGACAGCTATTGCAAGAGTCTGCAACA